AAATGTTTTGAAGTCGGAATCGTGATGTTTTAACCAGATCTTCTGGGAGGTTGTTCCAATCAGCAGTGTTACGTGGGAAACATGATGTATTGACTAATTGATGTTCAACAAGCCCCCTAAAAGACACTTTAGTCTGTAACAGGAGAGGAAAAATGCACGACCAGACTGGGGTTCGGATCTGGGACCCTCCGAACTCTAGACAGATGCTCTACCAATTGAGCTACCTGGTCGCCGATGATCGACCCAACCCAGTACAATGTATGTGCTAAATAGGGCTGCAACGATACGCATACCTCACAGTGTATCACAGTATGATGCTTAAGATGCTCACAGTACATTACACATCACAAGACACATATCTGCTCAAATGTTCAACTTCATAATAATAAAGTGCAGGGTCTATATTTCTATAGATCCCATTCTGCCAGGGCCTATAAAAGCATGTGCTGATGGGAGATAACACAAACTAGAATCTCTCTTCATAACAACAAAGATCATGGCGTCCGACACACAATAGTTCGAGGTTTGCCAATCATTCTCCGGATGAAATAGCCTATTTAAGCAATCTAAAACCACAGCAAATTCAACAAAATAGGCAATGAGGGGGTCGCTATAGAGTGCTAATTACAAAGATGGTTGTGTATTGTCCGAAATATGGCCAAGAAAGTGTCCGGCCAGGTAGGGGCTATTTTGGTAGCAGTCAAGTACAACTCAAACTCACAAACATTTCTTTGAACAAATGATGGCAATATAACAAGGTTTCCCTAACATGTAAGAAGAGATGACCAGCCAACGTGAAATAGTCAACAGCATATTGATGGTGTTGACCGATCCAACACTGCACAAAAAACTTGCCCGAAAACTTTAACCAAGTCCAACTAACCAGGTTTTGCCCCTAAAATAATGAAAATACAATTCAGAACATTGCTTACACTACATATAAATACTCCAACTTTATAATAGACAACAGTCTATTGATGGTGGTGATCCAACACTTCACAAAAAAACTTGCCAAAAAACTGTAACCACATGCTTACCAAAAAACATTAACTACCCAGTAAGTCCAATTAAGCTGTTTTTGGTCCCTAAATATGAAAATATTGCCCAGAACATTGCTAACACTCCATATAAATACTTCAAACTTATAAAAGACAACAGCCTATTGATGTTGGTGATCCAACACTACACAAAAAAACTTGCCTAAAAACTTTAACCTCAAATTTATTAAGTTCTATTAAGCTGTTTTTGGCCCCTAAGATATGAAAATATGGTCCAGCACATTGCTTACACTCCATGTATATGACTTAAACTCATAATAGACAACTGTGTATTGAGTGTGATGATCCAACACTGTCTGGAAAAAACTTTCTCAAAATCTTTAACCTCAGAAGGTGGGACGCAGACACCGGGTTGACTACATTAGCCTCCCTATTCTCCAAATAGGCTAAAAATGCATGCATGCAGCTAGTTCTGATTTGTTAGGATTCATACCACCTTGTCTCAATCTTTGATATCAGAAGTATCTTATAGGCCTTAACTTAATAAGTGGTCACATGTATATGCTCACTGTGCAAACCTGAAAATTAGCTTGATCATTGATCAATTTACTTAACTGACAGAATGACAACAGTTGATTACAAGGGGAGGCAACTCTGATATTCGAAAATGTCAATTAACCCAATAGTTGTACTCATCCATGATAACCGAGTGCACCGATGGACCAGGACCCACTGCTCTAGGGGTTAATGCTGTGGCTCTACACTTCTGAGGCCATTTTTGTGTGGCTGCTGACATACTGATGTGAACTCCAAAGTTTCATTTCATTTCAGTAAAGATTAGAAAGAATATGTCATTTTAATTAACCCAATAGGTACTTCAATCCTGTCAAAATCACACACGTCATCAGATTTAAATTGTGTATTGTCCATCCCCCACTACTTACCCTAACAGACTTTAACCTGTAGCTCATTACATCAGTGATAGTGGTCCCTATCTGGATGGTCAAAGCATTGTTAACCTAATAAGTATTATAATATCAGAGATATTTCTACCTCTTTTTGAGGGGGGCCTCTGCCTTGTAACTTTGGGAAATAACACACACAAAAAAGCATGGTTTCGGGAAAATAAAGCAATATTTTTCATTGACTTTGGGAAAAGATGTCAAATTACAACAGAAATTATCTTTTCTAGTGGAAACTATAAAGAGGCTTTATAAGGTCCCAAGTTCACTTTTAAACTGAACATCACAGTTTAACCCCTAGGTAACTTTAGTAGACTCTACCATACATTCATCTGGATGCGTTCATTATGGTTGACAGTGGTGAAAGGGTTAACATTATATTATCATTCTCAAAATTTAGCATTGAATTCTACACACCACAGAAGACAGGTCTATGAGATGGACATCTGTTGTAGTTAGACCTACTGAAATCATCCTAGACAAGGTCTTAACTAGGAAAATGTTAGTAGTACACTGTACATGTACGTATTTTAAGTGCTGAAAATTGATAATATAACATTAAGGAAATATGTATGTGGCATAACTATAAATACTAGAGGAAGAAAAGTAATTTAACCTTTTCACCCCTATGTAACTTTAGTAGACTCTACCATGCATTGATATGGAGGGGTCCATTATGTTCTACAGTATGGTGAAAGGGTTAACACCACTTTTCCCCAACTTTGAAGGGGGGTGCTTTGGGATTATATTGATTGTCCCCATATGTGCCCCCATGAATAATTATGATAATATTACCAAAAAAACTCAAATATATATGTGTACCAGTATTTCACTAAAAATGTTGTAGATATTGCATATTTCACCTGCAGTGCTCATGATAAAAAAGTATGCTAACTAAACTTATGGTAGGGAGGATTTACCTTGCAGTTTATGTTATCACTGATTACAATATCACTGATAATTTATGACAAATATGTACCGTATTTTACCTAAAGTCCATAGTTAACTCAGTCTGTTTAGGTCATTCCTGAAGGGGGTGCCGTCATCTTTAAAAAAGTGTTTCTGTATATTACCAAGGTAGGTCATTGCTGAACGGAGTGCCTTCAGCAGGAAGAGTATTTTGTCAAATTTTTTTTTGAAAGTGTTCCTGTATATAAGTATTTTTTTGAAGGGATTGTCTTCCACAGGAAGAGTGTTTTGTCATTTTTTAAAAAGTATTTCTGTATATTAGGTCATTTTTTAAAAAGTATTTCTGTATATTAGGTCATTTTTGAAAGGAATGTCCTATAAGCAGGAAAAGTTTTTGGTTTATTCTTCTTTTTTTTTTCTTTTTTTTTTTTTAAATATTTCTGTTTATTACTCTCATGAATCTTAATAAACACCATTTTCAAAGATAAACAAAACGAAATACCTGTATGTATAATTAAAGAATTGGAAAAAATATTGATCATATCTGGTACAAAAGAATGTATTATAATCAGCTAGATATCTGTAGCTGTAGACACGACAGTACAGTCGTCTTTGATACGATAGGATGTGAAAGTCAGGATTCACTGTGTAGCTTGTGACCCATGAATGACACTACATCAGGATCATATAAGTACACACTTTATCTTTAACAAATGTTGTTAATATGTTCTGTCCCACTGCACTGAAGAGGCTGAGTGGTTAAGGCATCTGATGTCGACTTTCTGCTACATACCACTAGCCCTCTACCACTGGGTCACAGTGACCAATCCCACTGCACTGTGTATTTTCCTATATACAGTTACCTCCCCTGATTAACTTCCGTTTGGATATAACTGTAGCACTGTTGGGCCATGATACTCTGTTGACTAGCTATACATACATAGGTACAGGTAGCTCGGTCAGAGCAATGATATAGCAATCCTTAGTCTGTAGCACTGTTGGGCCATGATACTCTGTTGACTAGCTATACATACATAGGTACAGGTAGCTCGGTCAGAGCAATGGTATAGCAATCCTAAGTCTATGGAGGGAATTCCAGTCTAGCCCCTCTGAATTTTTACACTCAAAATTAAACACTGTTGTTTATCATATTCTATTTATTTCATCTTTATTATTTCTCATAATAGTCCTGCAAAGCATGGTTTTCTTTTCAGAAATGATTTATCAAAGCTATAGTCATGTTGAAAAAAACATTTCAAATTCTACAAATTACATTTTTTTTTACATTGGTATGGGAGTCCTTAACATAAAGTATGTCATTTTTCCATCTAATTATATATAATTAGTGTCCATAGGTTTCAAAGTTCCCGTCAGTATCACGAGAATAAATCGTCAAGTACTTGAGTAATGAATCACGGGTTCAGAAAAATGTTTGCATGCTTACAAAATTTACATAAAATACTTCCCCGTTGCCATTCTCCGGATGATAAAAGTTTCAAAATGTTAGAAATGAACAACAAGTAAGGTATTTACAAAACATGCAAAACTACAAGAACTAAAATGAACTCATTCACCCCTGAAGACTCATTTGAACTTTTCCAATTCAAAGGTTGGAATAGTTCATTATGAAACTTTAGGGGTGAATGAGTTAGACAAGATAATTATGGTGATCAGACTTGGGCACATCAGAGCAGCAAAACAGGAGGGTGGGTGCTTATTGAAAAATTGGGTCAATTACGGTAGATGTAGATAAATGTATTATTAGATAAGATTGCTGATGTACATGACTGCATAATTTCATCATGGACAGTTTTTGTATATCTTTAGGTCACTGATAACCTTATATCAATGAACAAACTCATTCAGACTACAGTAGCTCGAACTATAATCAGCTTCACAACACCTTATCTAAAATTAACACAAAAATTTTAATTGAGTATATTTGAAATTCAAAATTTAAATTACAAGTATAAGGATTCAAAATGTTTTGAAGAAGACAAGAAACACAAAAAATATTTGTAAATATTGAGATGTTTCTCAAAACTCACATTACATAAATAGCTTTACAAGCTAACCATGCTTTGAGCAATGGGGCCAGGGGTCAGTAATTCATGTCTGTGGCTACATCGCGGTCTGGTTGCATTGAGAGAGAAACTACTCTAGCAACACTGTACCGTCCACATTTCTGTTCACATGGGGATTACTGGAAGATTTTTACGGAGCCTGTTTGTGTACAAGTGGTTCAAATGTCAGCTTCGGACGTACCAAAAAGGCTACAGGCTTGAGTTGTCACACGGAAACAGGTAAAGCTATAAATAGAAGATGTATCAAGGATTTATCTTAAAAGGAATTAGGTGTAATAGTGTTTTATACCCGATACATCATAGGAGGCGACTAATATGGGAACCCCCTGCAGAATAGGGGATTTGCTTTGGTGTCCTCTATGATGTTGAGCACTCTTAAATTAATTTGTGCCATATATCACAACATCGGTGAAGCAATGTGTCGCCAATACAGTACACTATCAATCTCCACACACAGTGGGACTAATGTATTATGGAAATACAACGGTACAAATGAAAAGATTCATTACACTTTAATACATCGCCTTACCCTGATTGTTCACTATCTAGCTTATTATATACCGTATCTACTCTTGGATTCCATTATATCTGTCTACTCCTTGCCACATTTGCGAAAGTGCAACTCGCTCAAAACTTAAATTGGAATATTTTTACAGTAATCATATAAGTGCCCGTAGCATACATGTATATAGTCCTAAATCGCAAGAAATTGACCAGTAAAAATAAAACTACAGTTTGAATTTTGTGAAATTCCTATAATTTAACCCACATAGAAATACCGGTATCCCAATTTACAGTATGGTCACTGTGTCAATATTTTTACTTACTAACTTTTGTGCCTCTCTTGTTGTAGGCAGCGCCCAAGCATGCAGTACCGAGATGCCTATGCGTTCTTTGTTTTTCTTGTCTTCATCATGATCATCTTCAACTATAAGGACTATACGGAACGTCTCAAAACCACATCCAAGCCTTTCACACCAGCTAAGAGATCCCCCCTTCTCTCAAACATTACGCTGATTCAGAAGCTCAACAGATCTCTGACACTGGAGCAGAGCGATAGGGTCGCTCAGTGCATCACTTCCGCTCAGAACACCAGAACTACAACCCCCGACCATGTTATGGACTCAGAAGCCTTTTTGAACGCTCACTCCTACCTCAATTCAAATAGTCTCATCATTGACCTTGGCGGAAAGTCTGCGGAGGAACTGATAAAGAGATACAAGCCACGCCTCACCGTGATCTTAGAACCAGTTCCATATTTCTACCAACAGCTTGTCAAAAAATTCACTGGCATTCCAAACGTTGTGATTTTTAATTTCGGTCTCGCAGCAAGAAATGATGTATACAAAGTCAAAATGGAGGCGCATCCAGACATGTCCACAGACGGTGATAGAAATGTTGTCGTGAAAGTCGTCAACGCCAGAGATTTCTTTGTGGAAATGGGTGTTGGGTTTTTCGATGTAGATTTATTGAATATGGACTGTGGTGGATGCGAGTATGACGTTTTGGATGTCATATTATCATCCACACTCGTCAAGCACTTTAAAAACATTGAATTTCAACCACATCCGAAAAAATCTATCTACGACTCCGTTCGAAGATACTGTCAATATGAAGAATTACTCAAAGACACCCATCAGAATGTCTTCAATCACAAACTTGTCAAGGAGGGCTGGTCTCGTGCAGACCTTCAAAACTGAATCATTTCGGCAGACATTTGTGTGTGATCAAAATGTACTTACAAGATTCCGTTTATAGACATGTACATTGTATATTATTTTTTAACTTTGAAATCTGATTTTAGACCATCCTTTAAAAACTGTTTGTTTACAGTGTCCTTACTCATATTTTTTTCATTGAGTAGGTAGTTAGTTAGTTTTTATTTACAAGTCTCATATTTCTATATCAAAACCCTTAGTTTCAGTGGTTTTTCAGCAAGAAAGATTTTTATTTTACCAAAAGTTCACCAAAAAAGTTTGAGTAAGTATGTGAGTTGATCGGGAAACTGCAAACAAACAATTATTTGAGGACGGCCTTAGAAATAATTTCTTAATTTCTAAGCCACCCACAGATAGATGTATACATTATAAACTTACTTTTTTTTAAATCTCTAAGTTGAAGCATAACTTCGATTTTTGTTAAGTCTTTTCAAATACATTGTATAATTGACATATTATACCTTAATTTAATGAGGATTACAATAATTCTTTTAAATATTCGGTCCATTTAGATATTGATATTATTTAGTTTCTAGAGATACAATCAAAGTCTTATAAATTCAGCCAATACTAATTAACTCAGTCACCCCTGAAGACACATTTGAACTCTTCCAATTCAATTGTTGGGATAGTTCATTATGAAATTTCAGGGATAAATGAGTGAATTGTAACACAGTTGTCCCATTATTCAGTCTGTGTTTAGACGAGCAGATACATGTATAGCTCTTTTCCTGTTGAAAATTGTCCTACAGTATTCCAGGTATTTCACAATGCAGCCTCTTTCATTTTGAAGGAAGGTGGCTCCATTAAAAAATCTCCATCAACTGTCTACTGATGATTGATACTGTGTGCCGGGAAAAGTTTGCTGAAGTTTATTTTTCTGCGTTTTTTGCCCTCCGTAATAACAGTGAACATTTGTAGACAACTTAAATACATTGTAATTTAAATATGAAGGGCAAATTTGATATTGGGCAAAACATTATTTTCCATCGAATGGTGAAAATTTGACTGAGCAGAAATTTCCCCGTATACATAAGTAATATATTCCTGTATACTACGTAGATACTGCCTGTACCAGCACTTAAAAAACTTAATTCCTCAACCACAATTTTGTGTAGGAGTCATTAAGTGTTTGCTTAATTGCGATAAATCCTTATGTCTGTCCTTTCGACATCTTGGTAAGTCTTCACATTTAGCTTCAATTCTCTAATACTAGAAGTCCAACAATAATCAAACGTCATATCTGGATACATGTTTAGGAGAACTACACCAATAAATAAAATATAGGTCACTGTGACCTATATTTTCTGCTTTAGTGACTTTCATCAGACTTTGCATTTAGCTTCATTTCTTGGTCAGAATTTGTGTTCAGCTCCATTTCCATCATAAAGGGAGCATCTGCAAATTCATCCTCGATATCCAGGGGTTACATCATCCTCGGTATCCAGGGGTTACGTCATCCTCGGTATCCAGGGATTACGTCATCCTCGGTATCCAGGGGTTACGTCATCCTCGGTATCCAGGAGTTACGTCATCCTCGTTATCCAGGGGTTACGTCATCCTCGGTATCCAGGGGTTACGTCATCCTCGGTATCCAGGGGTTACGTCATCCTCGGTATCCAGGGGTTACGTCATCCTCGGTATCCAGGGGTTACGTCATCCTCGGTATCCAGGGGTTACGTCATCCTCGGTATCCAGGGGTTACGTCATCCTCGGTATCCAGGGGTTACGTCATCCTCGGTATCCAGGGGTTACGTCATCCTCGGTATCCAGGGGTTACGTCATCCTCGGTATCCAGGGGTTACGTCATCCTCGGTATCCAGGGGTTACGTCATCCTCGGTATCCAGGGGTTACGCTCCCTTCCGCTCTCTGCACCCCTGGAATATGTCATAGCAACCTTGTTGATGAGACAAGAAATCTAGTTCGATCCTTTGATGTACATCAACAGAATCTTGCGGTCATCTAACGGTAAAAATTGATGGGGTTTGAAGTTGGGCTTCTCTCCTTTGTAATCTTCAAAGGACAGGTATCAGCCTAGCGATTGGTCAGGTTTTTTTTACCTGAGACCAATTTAAACAGCTATATTCGTGCCTTCAATTTTGCCATGACATATATTCCAGGGGTGCAGAGAGTGAAGGTGAGCACATATGTTTTATAAACATCCTGACGTGAGATTTCCTTGTAAATTTCCTCCAAACATAGAATTCATTATATATAGGGCACTCGATCATGTTTCTCAATATATCTATTTATTTTATTATTGTTATTGATTATGTGAAGTATTGTTATATATGATAGGGTCAGTAGATTTTATATTTTTCATCAAAGTGAAACCTGAGGTGAATATTTATACGAATAGTGTGGTGTTTTTTTTTCATTTTAGCTTATAATTTCACCTTCACAAATTACATGGCACGTTAACAAATCACACAAGTTTATAAACTTATCGATTTATTGCTGTGTTGTAATCATTATTTGTCAGTAGATTTTTTAACACAGGTAATAAAAAAATCCTTATTGAAATCATGTACTTGAATCTTGTAGTTTTTATAGGGAAAGGATTCATAATTTTTCTTTAGAAATTACTGTACCTAAACATACAGTTACATATTTTAGCGATATTCTAATTTCGGTGCTTTTCGCACTTAAAACATATGACCTCATTAATTGAAGTTACTGTTTAAATTTTTAATTGCATATTTTGTGAGTATGCCACTTTTCTGTTAACTTGATAATACACTAAAATTTGTGTCCACTAAAATAAGGACTCTCACAGTAGTATAAATTGTATGTATAAGGAATACTTAATGCTACTTTTTGGGATGAAAACAAAATTTGGTACAATATGATGAAGGGATGGGATGCATATTATGTGCATGTACACTTATATTTCGAAGTCATATGCACCTGATTTGAAGATTTTGCGGTCCCTTGACCGTTGTTTAGGTTGTTTCATTGTTAGTTCTTGGAAAGAACGAGTTTGTTTAATGTATCTGAATTTCAGGATATAATTTTGGGTTTTCGAATTCAGTAATCCTGAGGTTCTGTTGATGAATTTGATCTGTTTATCAAGAGGGATAGAGGTATCAGCAGGCTGTTTATTATTTTATTTTTTTATACATAGCACGTACAGGTATCAGCGTCAGTCCGAGAAGCTGATTTGCAGCTCTAAAACTTTAACTCATTCACCCCTGAAGACACATTTGAACTCATCCAATTCAAAGGTTGGAATAGTTCATTATGACATTTCAGGGGTGAATGAGTTAAAGAAACAAAAATAAGTCAAGGAATAATATCTGAAGTTGTACTATCATTAATTATATATAAGTTGTCCTTTATGTAAAAAAATGATTCAGATTCTTTAACTATCAAATAGTGAAAAAAACAAGTATTTATTTAAAAAAAACATGTCTTTTAAAATACAGTATACAATGCAATCAATAGCCTGACTTGCTAACAGTTTAAAAATAAAATTAAAATAAGCATCTTAAAAAGAGTGAAATATACCATTTATCACACTAGGAATATCATATGAAAGTTATAAGAAAACTGTACAATTATATACCGGGAAATTTTCGCTTTCAACAGTAAATTCCATTTTCGTCCTTCAACAGTAAATTCCATTTTTGCCTTCAACAGTAAATTCCATTTTCGTCCTTCAACAGTAAATTCCATTTTCGTCCTTCAACAGTAAATTCCATTTTCGCCTTCAACAGTAAATTCCATTTTCGCCCTTCAACAGTAAATTCCATTTTCGCCCTTCAACAGTAAATTCCATTTTCGCCCTTCAACAGTAAATTCCATTTTCGCCCTTCAACAGTAAATTCCATTTTCGCCCTTCAACAGTAAATTCCATTTTCGCCCTTCAACAGTAAATTCCATTTTCGCCCTTCAACAGTAAATTCCATTTTCGCCCTTCAACAGTAAATTCCATTTTCGCCCCAATATTAAATTTGATGACTATATTGGTTATATTGTTTACGAATGTTCGCTGTAATGATAAATTTGCCGTCATTAAGGAGGGCGAAAACGGCAAAAAAAAAAAAAAAAATATATACTGTAGCGAACATTTCCCAGTAAACAGTATGTAATTTCTTGTTGGTTTAACTCATTCACCCCTGAAGACACATTTGAACTCTTCCCACTCAAAGGTTAGAATAGTTCATTATCAAAGTTCAGGGGTGAAGTAGTTAAGTTGTCTTACTACCCAGTGAAGTTGCTTTGTTTCCTTATTTTGTCCCCTACCGGTGAAACCGGGGGGACTATAGGTTTTGTCCATCTCCAAAATCTACAGGTTAAGGTTTGGGTTAAAGTTTTGTAATGGCTTACCGTTCACTTAATAATGATGTTAGGATGCTGATTTTATGTACAGAGATTTTTTAGGGATCTAGCATTAATGCTGTGGATTGAAAGTGGAAAATAACTCCTTTTTTTTTAAATTTTTGACATGTTTTGGACTTAACTATCTTGGCCAACATCTGAAGGTTAAAGTTTGGGGGGCCGGTAGGGGACATGTATTGATTCATCAATACCCACAGAATGCTTGTTTCACATTGAAATCCATGCCATAACATTTATATTGTTGTAAAAATATTCTTAATTTATATGTTTTGCACATAAATATATTTTTATGAAGAGAATGGGTGTATGTGTATATAGCTAGCGAACTTAAAGTTATATTATTGTTAAAGTTTACGTTGTGTACATGTAATTGTTACTGTAATCAGATACTGACAGTAGACGTCGGAGTCTGTAGATACTGACAGTAGACGTCGGAGTCTGTAGATACTGACACTAAACTTCAGGTTATACATTTTGTATGACAAGCTGTTTAGCTTTTTCCCATTAAAATACAGATGTCTCGAAAAAATTGAAAAAAAATGAAATATCTTTTATTTTAGTTAAGATTTCTCTAATTAAAATACAGAATTCTGTATATTGCATATCTGTAAAATAAAGATATTTTTATATAATTGGTAAGAAATCTCAAATGGCTTACCATAAGATATTTGGGTATTTTTAATCTTTAACTCATTCACCCCTACATTTTTAAATTGGACTTGCCCTGTTTTTGATATGGTAAGGTTTAATTGTGACTTTAGGGGTAAATGGGTTAAAATAAAGATACAGTATAGATCACCAATTATCCAAACTTTTAATTTGGTATGCAAAATTTGATCATGTTTTCCAATAAGTAGCTTGCTTTAACTCATTCACCCCTGAAATTTCATAATTAATTTTTTACCAACCTTTGAATTGGAAGAGTTCAAATGTGTCTTCAGGGGTGAGTGAGTTAATAATGTAAATCCAGTAATCCTAACAACCATATGATATGTCCCCTGATGTGTTCAGATGATAGGCTCACTACTGATGTACCTGTACTTAAGGATCCCTGTCCCACTGCACTGTAACTTTTCCTTTATACAGTTACCTCCCCTTAACTTCTGTTTGGATAGAACTGTAGCACAGTTGGGCTCTAACACTTCATTGACTGGGTAGCTCAGTTGGTTAGAGCGATAGTATATCAGTCTGAAGTCCTGGGTTCAAATCTCAGTCTAGCCCCACTACATTTTTACATTCAGAACACTTGTTGATAATATTTTTTTATTTTTCTAATCTTCGTTATTTTTTCATTAAGTCACACGAGGTATCCCTTTCTTTTCAGAAATGATGAATTAGATGAAAATGTGCCGGAAAGAAAAGTTTCCTATACTTATATACAGTTTTTGCCAGTGGTACGGGTATCCTTAAATACAAATGCAGATATCTGCATTAACAATAGCCATATCTCAAATTACATCGGTGATAACTCAATTTTCCCTATAACTAGTAGAGGTGATTGATAATTATATTAAAATAGAAATATTTGCATCAGTATTTAATGGGTAAAATGGAAACAGCTTGCTGTACAGGGTACATGCACTTTGTATATATATACATGGATTGTAGACTTCACAAGTGTTTATATATATATACATACATATATAAAATGCTGACAGTAAGCCTCAGGTTGTGTGAATCTAAACTAAGTTTTAGCAGTTCTAAAGGTTAGAATCCTCATCTTGGCATATTTTTTTGGTAAATTTAACTGATTTTTTTTCAAGATATATTTGAAACTGTATAACAAAATTTTATATGTATAAACATCTTGACTTAAATGTATGTTAAAAAACAGAATGTTTTTAATGGATGTTGGTTAATTAATCAAGTCTTTTATTAATTGATAGTTTATATTGTTTTATTTTAATGAGTTTTAAACTCTTTTTAATAGGACATCATGTCATACATAATGTTGTGTACATTTGTACATCCTTCTGTAGAAAAATAATGTTATCAAAGAAATTTACTTTTATATTTTGTTTTCATGAACTCATAACGTTGCTGTTTTGTAACATTGCCCGTATTCATGAAACCGTTTTCATGCCCAAGCATGGATTCAGTGTTCAACCCAACTTTTTTGCAACTCGCTTAAATCATGT